GGACAGTTCAGCGTCAAACAAGACTGACTGGCTTAGTGAGGTTGAGTGTGCAGCCATGGAGGTTGATGCTGCCAGTGCCCGAGGTGGGGAGACGCTGATTTTGTGTTGCCTACAAAATACACAGTAAATCATGTGAAGCCCTTTGAAACGCCCTCACAACGTGAAAGGTGCAATCTCAAATGCAAGGATTATTTATTTGGGGACTTGGTGAACAGCTGCACATACTGTACATCGAAATCTGTGTGAAGATGGGCAGCGCTGAAGGGTTTTTCTGTTGATTGCACGCTCCACTGAACTCCCCATCAGGAGAATGGAGCAGCCTCATAGACACACTAGAAAGCTCATGAAGCCCTTTGAGACTATATCAGGCTTCATTTATTTATTATCTGTTTGGGAAAAAACAACTTGTGAAAGAAGTTTAAATTGTGCTTTCTCTGATAAACAGTGATAAATTGGAAGAATTTATACTGTGCGGAGGTAATGAGTTTCGAAGTGTTGTTCTGTCTTTGAAATAGTGGAACCGGTAGAAGTCTCCCCAGGTTTAGCTGTATTCATATGTCAACAGCTGCCAACAACACTCCCCCCACACCACCTTCTCCTTCTCCCCCCCCCCCCCCCCCCCCACTCACCTCCGCTGCTCAATGTCCTGTGTTTTATTCAGAGAGCATCCCCCAGCCACTGAGCAGCGTTCAGATACTGTCAGCTTTTACAAATATACACAGGGCACTCGCACAATACCAACAACAACAACAAGATCACATTTGTATAGCGCCTTTCACGACGGGAGGATGTCCAAGGCGCTGGACAGTGTACAGCATTTCAGAACTGAGCTGGGGTTAGGGGAGGGAGAAGGGAGGGGAGGGGAAGGGGGTAACCGATGGCATGGTTGAAGATGAGGGTCTTGAGGCGGGACTTGAAGGAGGCTAAGGAGGGGGCGAGGCGGAGTGATTGAGGGATGGAATTCCAGAGGTTGGGGGCAGAGTGGCTGAAGGCTCTCCCACCAATGGTGGGTCGGGGGATGTGGAGCAGGCCGGAGCCGGCTGAGCGGAGGGTTGGTAGGGGTTTAGGAGGTCACAGAAGTAGGGTGGGGCGAGGCCATAGAGGGCTTTTTAGGTGAAGATTAGGATCTTGAACTGGATCCTCTAAAGGATAGGGAGCCAATGGAGTCAGGTGAGAATGGGGGCGATAGGGTCATGGAGTTTGGTGCGGGAGAGGACAACTGCTGAAGATTCAGAGTAGGCATCCATTTGAAACAGGTGTAGCCTCTCGTATCTCAGAAACCCATGCTCTCTCCTTTCTCAGACACAGACATGCTCCCTTCACACCTCTGTCCTTGACTGGTTCAGATCATACTTCTCACACAGCTTCCACATCATTTTCACAAACAGTTTCTCCTCTCACCCCCACACCGTCTCGTGTGGCATTCCTCAGGGCTCTGTCCTTGGTCCCCTCCTCTTCAATATCTATATGCTCTCTCTTGGTGACATCATCGGCAGACATGGAATCAACTTCCACATATACGCGGATGTTACCCAACTCTACCTCTCTGCCTCCACAGTTGATTCCAGAACCACTGCTGTGCTGTTAGATATCAAGTCCTGGATGAGAGCTAATTTTCTTCAGTTGAACATCAACAAGACCGAGGCTCTCCTGATTGGCTCCCGTCAGCGCCTCCTCACCTCAGGCGCTGACGGCATCACCATCCATGGTTGCACATTGCACCTTGCTAAGGCAGTCCGGAACCTTGGGGTCTTGTTTGACACTCAACTATCATTTCTACTTCACATCTGTGCCATGACCCACTCTGCCTGCCCCCACCTCCGCAACATCGCCCGGCTCCCCCACTATCTCACTCCGCCAGCTGCCGAAACCGTCATATACGCTTTCATTACATCAAGGCTTGACTATGCAAACTCTTTGCTTGTCGGCCTCTCCAGCTCCTCCTTCCATAGGCTGCAGATCATCCAGAACTCTGCAGCCCGTGTCCTCTCCCATACCAGGCTCCATGACCCTATCAACCCCATCCTCATCCGACTCCACTGGCTTCCCATCACACAGAGGATACAGTTCAAGAGCCTGGTCCTCATCTTCAAAGCCCTCCATGGTCTTACTCCCCCCATCTCTGCGATCTCCTAAACCCCTACCATCCTGCTCGCTACTTCCACTCAGCGGGCTCCAGCCTATTTCAAGTCCCCCGCCTCATTTGCCCCACTATTGGCAGGCGGGCCTTCCGCCTCCCTGCCTCCACCCTCTGGAACTCCATCACGCAGTCCCTCCGCCTCACTCCCTCTGTTGCCTCCTTCAAAACCCATCTCAAGACCCTCCTCTTCGACTGTGCTTTTGATCTCCCTGCTAACCCTCCTGACCTCCACCCTGCCCGATCTCAACCCTAGCCTGGGTCCGAAACCCTGTCTGTCCAGCACCTTGGGATATCCTCCCAACGTGAAAGGCGCTATACAAATGTAATTTTGTTGTTATTGTTGTTGCTCTGTGGGCACATGGAGTCACAGTAGCCGGAATTTCATTAGCTGAGGGTGATGGATGGCTTCTGAATATTGTGCTACCACAGAGGTGCTGGAGATTTAATTGAGGAAAGCCCTCACAGGCAAGTCATTCCGTTTCTCAGGGAGGAAATCAAGGCGGTCATAATGGGATCAGCTTGTCAAACTGGTGTTTCTTAACATTCAAATGTTCAGTTGAGAGTGAACATGAAGGCATATCAAAGGCAGTAAACACAAAATGTCTCATTGCCTTATGACTGAAATTATTTAAATAATGAGAACTATTCCACCCTCCAGTGTGTGAAACAGATTGAAACCTTTGTGCAGTCTGAAGAACGTAGAATGGGGGAACACAACATTGTGCCATTGTGATGGAGATTCCTGTTTCCTGGACACTGGAACCCTCTGTGTCTGCTTTCAAAACCTGTCTAAAGACAGGTTGTGCCCCCCCATCTCCCTGCCAGCTCAGACTCTCACTGTGCTCGTGAAAAGCCTTTTGAGATTCTCCCAACATGAAATGCACTTCATAAGTGCATATTCTTGTTCTTGTTGCATTGTTGGAGGTGCCATCCCGGTTCCTATTTACTGCTAGTGAATCAGAGGCGTGTGGAGTCAGGAAAATTGCCTAACATTAATAGCCTAAGGTTTCTCAGTTAATAGAAAACTATGCCTCAAATGCTGCCTCAAATGCAAGGATTATTTATGTATTATTTAATGGTGCAGGACTCGATGAGCTAAATGAAGCCCTTCTGTTTCTATGTATAGAGTGGAGGGAGGGAAGAGGGGTTGTGCTCAGCAATTGTCCATCAATCTGCTTCAGCCCCGGATGGGAAGGTATTTGATATTTCACTCTCAGTGAGCTTCTGTTTCCAGTCATTCCGGTAATGGCAGTCGCTGAGTGGAGACTAGGCACTTCCCATAGGGAAACAGGGAAAAAATACACACAGAGAGTAATAATAATTGACCCACAAAATACACACAGTCACACTATTCTACAGCAAGGGGTCGATTACCACTAGTTGTCCTCTTACACATGCTCAACAAACACAAGAGGCAGGAGCGACATTTACCGCAATTTAAACAATAACGTTTACATTTTCATTTTGAGATGGGTGAAAGACTTTGTGCCTCTGGCTTTGTTTTCAATTGGACTCAGTCACCACGCAGTTGCCTTTTTGACCATGCAAGAGAGCGTCACCTAGTGGTAATTGACTAGTCGGGGAGCCCACCACCCCCACCCCCTGTTCTACAGTATATCCTGTGAAGGCTATGAGACGGCTCGATGATACAATAAAGCACTTGACGAAATGCAAGGATTATTAATAGTTCCATAAATGGTTGCGCTCTAGATGCTGACAAATCCTTGCCTTCCACTGCCATTTCCCCTTCCTTCACTTGCTCAGAGATCAGTGAGGCAGCGGTGTTGTGTTCTGGCTCTACCAAGGCTCCGAGGGGCTCGGAAGCCCCACAGGCACTGGGAGCAGCCAGGCTGCCGAGAGGACCAGTGAAGAGAGAGCAAGTCAGCAAGTCATCCCCAGGCAACCTTAAGAGTCTCACTGGTGCCCAAGGCAGAGGCCTTCACCTCCTCAGTGTAGCGCTGTTCCCATTGAATTAGTTCATTAATATGCAGAGAGCAGGCTTCACCCACTCAGGCATTTTCACACGTTAATTCTTTAGCAAATGAGTAGGTAATAGTTGTTTGTTGGCAGTGAATTGTGACTAGGTGATGAATTGGTGTAATTTATTTAATTTACTGGAGCAGACGCTTTGGGTCTCTCTGAATAATGAATTTAAAGCGTAAAGAGACATGCTCGGTATGAGGTTAGATACAAGGGCAGGCCTCCTCTTCTTCCCCCGAGTCCTCCGCTCCACTCTCTGAGGCCGTGCCTTCAGCTACTATGCCCTGAGGCTCTGGAACTCCCTTCCTCACTCCCTTCGCCTCGCCCCCTCCCTTCCTATTTTTAGGTCTCTGCTGAAGACCTTTCTTTTCGAACTGCAACTTTAGTCAACTTCCTCCCCCTCCCTCTGGCTCAGCCCCGGGATCTGTTGCTGTGAAGTGCTCTGAGACACCGTCTGACGTGGAGGGCGCTATATAAATCCAAGTTGTTGTTGTTGTTGAATGTTAACCCCCTCCACCCACCCATACACACACACACACATATACACACACACTATCAGCACCACTAGAATTCTGAGAGACAGACGTGTGTTCAATGTCACATACATGAGTTAACAAAGTGGCAGTCAAGTTCCACACCAGGGCCTGGGCTGGTGATCTCGAGGGAATCAGACATGCCATATAAAGACATATATGTTATACATTTATAGTCTCCTACATCCTGTTAGTGTCACCCTAGACATGCAATACTATAGTCTCTCTGGATGTACACAAATTCCCTGGATAAACAATGCTAGTCTCCTGTGATAATGCTGGGTTGCTATCCAGGGAAACGTGGAGAATGCGTGCTCATAATCTGAGATCTCTCTTTCCCCACCCAGGAAAAGGCGATCTGATCGGCTCAGACTTTTTGGCGAAGAACCGTGTGATCAAGACCAATGCCAATGTGAAAGCCCTGACTTATTGCGACCTGCAGTACATCATCCTGAAGGGGCTGCGGGAAGTGCTACAACTGTACCCGGAATATGCACAGAAGTTCATCGAGGACATTCAACACGACCTGACCTACAACCTGCGTGAAGGCAGTGAAGCAGACGTAAGTTTATACCCCACCATCACCCCCACCCCACCTCGTGTGTGCTGTATATTGCACATCTATATATGTAGAATATACAGCATACACACAGTGTACATATTTACATATATAAGATAGGCAGTTTATTCATACAGTGTGTGTACAGAATATTGTAGATACTATATGTACATCCAGATTATATATACGCAGAGAGAGAATGCACACCTGTACAGTATACATATAATGTGTGTGTGTATATAATATGGATCACAGCCTATAAAGGTGTCCAAATGAAGGTGTTGGGTTGAGTTAAGATGAGAGCGTATTGTATAAACATGGTGCTGTGCAAGGCTGCAGCTTTGGTGGTTGCAGTTAAAGCACATTTCTGCTTTAAATAAGATCAAGCGGACTGTTCCTAATAATAATCCTTGCACTGCCTAAAATAACAACAACTTGTCCTGGAGCATGTGAGTCTCTGAGGGACATCAGCTTTAAAAAGCCTGAGCTAAAAATAGCAGCAAGCACTCTCTGTTTTCTGCAGTAACATCAATAAAACAGACAGGCTCAGTGCGTGCTGACCCAACCACTCTGAATCCACGGGGGGGAGGGGGGGGAATTGATTTTCAGATTCATGTAATTACCTCCCAGATGATATATTTCAGTGTAAAAAAATACATATAAGAGAGAAAGAGAGAGCGAGAGCAGGAAAGAGTGAGTGAAGCTGTTTCAATAATTCAACAAAATGCCTTTCTTCTCCGCGAGCTGTCTGAAAGAGACATGAGCGTGTGTGTTAAGCTGGAGCCAGCAGTACTATACATGTATGCAACGTTCCAGACTTGCTGCCTTCTGGCTAAAGTTTGGACTTCACATCAAGCATTCCCTGAAGGGATTTGCTGCGCTTTCTAAAAATAACACTTCGCTGTTGGAACAGTCTGAAGTTTGGTGAATTAATTATAAGACGAGATAAAATTAAATATCTGCAGGAATGGGTAATGAGAAGGCTTCGCTGAGATGCTCTCTGTACATCAGACGCCTACACAAGGCATTTCTGAAGTGAGTGGGAGGACACAGGGCCATTTCACAAACATATTAAGAGTGCGTGGAGCCCGGCTTCGTACACTCAGGGTTGGAAAGCGTTTCCATCTTAAAGGATCAACGGCTTTGATAAGCTTTGGATATGTTTTAATCGCAAGCATCTTGGATAATCCCAAAGCCCATAAACAATGTTGCCAGTACGATATACAATTGAAAAATACTCCATATTTCTATTTTTATGCCGTTTTTGGTTGAATAGTTGCATCAGGTAGCAGAAGGGAATGTCAACAACAATAACTTGCATTTACAAAGCACCCTTCAGAATCTCAAAGCGCTTAACACTGGCAGACCCTGACACCGAGCCAGGGGGAGGGAGAGGTGACCATGAGCACGATCGATCGGAAGTTGTGATCTGAAAATGGGAAAGGAGGGGACAAGGTGAAGGGATTGAGGGAGAGAGTTCCAAAGTGCTGGGGAATTGAAATTAACTGGTTTTGGTACCCGCTGCTGTAAAAACCAAGCAATCTCTTTGTCAGAAAGAGCCAGGTACAGAGCGACTGAAAGGGGATATGATAGAGGTGCTTAAGATTATGAATGAATTGGATAAAGTGGATGTTGATAGGCTGTTTCAACTTGTTGGTGAGTCCAAACTAGAGGAAATAAATGTAAGACAGTCATTAGTAGATTTAACAGAGAGTTTATGAGTAAACATTTTCATGCAGAGGGCGGTGAGATCATGGAACAAATGGCAAAAGCAATTGGCATCCATATATTTAAGAGCAAACTTGATGCATCCTTGAGGGAGAATGGAATAGAATCATAGAATATTACTACAGAAGGATTGTGCCTGTGCCGGCTCTTTGGAATAGCTACCCAATCAGTCCCACTGCAATGCTCTTTTCCTATAACCCTGCAAATTTTCAAGATAGAATATCTTGAGGGTAGGGCTATCAGTCAGACCTCCTTCTCCTTATCCCCAATCAGTGATCACCGCTGGCTCACTGCTGAGCACGGACAGCATTGAGCTTGGGTGAGGGTTTGGAGGTCAGCTGGCACCTGTGGAATCATAGCTCAGCACGTCGGTGTCTGAGGGAAGCTAGAGGTAGAGCACAAACAGTGGAGTGTTGGAGATGGACAAAGATGGGGGAGAACATTCGTGTTTCACTAAGCTGGCAAGCTTTGCATCTCGATCGTAAACGCTGGAAAGTTAGTGAGTGAGTGGAATTATCAAGCTGTGGGCGCACTGTTTACCATTTAATAGTCAGTACAAATCATGAGTTCCTTGACGCATGTTGGGTGTCATCCACGTGACATGTGAAAGTTGACCCCATGTCTGTGGATGACGTCACCAAGGGGGGGGGCATGTAGAGGTTGAAGAGGAGGGGACCGAGGACAGAGCCCTGAGCAACACTGCACAATTGTGCGGGGGCTGGAAGAGAAACCGTTGTTGGAGACAAATTGGAGACGGTGTGAGAAATAAGACCTGAAACATTCAAGGACAGAATCTTGAAGGTTGAGGTGAGATTAGAGGTGGTGGAGGAGGATGGAATGGTCCACGGTATCAAAGGCAGCAGAGAGGTTAAGGAGGACGAGGAGACAGGAGAAACCCTGGATACAGATGGACAGAATGTTATTTGTCACCTTGACCAGAGCAGTTTCCATGCTGGTGAGCAGCATGGAAATCCGATTGGAGGAGCTTGTGAAGGGAGTGGTAGGAGATGAAGGAGCGAAGCTGGGAAGCAAAGACTCTTTCAAGGACCTTGGAAAGAAAAGGGAGGTTGGAGACAGGCCGGTAGTTAGAAAGTAGGAATGGTCCAGGGAAGGTTTTTCAGGATGGGGGTGATCATAGCTGTTTTTAGGGGGATGGAAACGGTGCCAGATGATAGGGAGGGAATGATGGTGTCAGAGAGTAGAGGAGTGAAGAGGTGGAGCTGGGAGAGAAGGCGAGGGGTGGGGATGGGGGCAAGAGAGCAGGTGATGTGTATCATGCTGGATATGGTGGTGGTGAAAGAGGAGGGGGAGACAGGTTCAAATATGTGGAGGAAGGGATAGGTAGGGGTTGGAGTGTTGAGGGGAGATGGGGAAGGGATGGCGGTTGGGAGGGCAGAGGCAGCTGAACAGATCCCCTCAATTTTGGACTTGAGGAAATCCAGCAACTCCTCACAGGAGAGAATGGGTGAGGCATGGGAGGGTGGAGAATAGGAGCCTGTGGTTGTCCTTCACCTCCAAGATTATCTTGGAGTAGAAGGACGATTTGGCGGAGGCGAGGGCGAAGTGATACGTTTTGAGGTGTTCGAGGCAGATCTGCTGGTGACCTGTTAGATCAGATTTGAGGCAGGTGCATTTGGTGGCCCAGACCTGACCCTTGAGAGAGCGAAGGTGGCTGGTGTACCAGGGTGAGGTTCGTGAGTAGGAGGCAGTTCGGGAGGTGAGGGAGCAAGGGCATCAAGAGTGGTGGAGAGGGAGTTGCGGAGGAGAGTGAGCGGGGAGATTTTTTTCCAGGGGTGGTAGGAGATGGAGGTGCATTGGGTGACTGTGGGGAGAGGGATTGAGGAGTTAAAGGAGATGAAATGGTGATCGGAGATGTCTTTGTCTGTGATTGTGAGGTCCGAGACACTGGGCCCCGGATAATCACCAGGTCGAGTGGGTGGCCATGAACGTGGGTGACAGAGTGGATGTGGAGGGAGAGGTTGGGAGAGAAGAGAAGGTCGAGGAGATAGAGGAGGAGGGTATGAAGTTAAGGTTGAAGTCGTCAAGGTTGAGGAGGCATTCAGGATAGAGGCAGAGGGAAGCTAGGAGGGTGGAGATGTCAGAGATGAAAGTGATACATAACAAAGCGCCTGTATCAAATGCAAGGATTATGTTTGATATCATTGGAAGAAATGAACGGCCATCCACCTCGAACAGACTTCAAACACGCGAAGATTAAACAAAAATTCCTATATTTACAGTGCTAGAAAGCTTGCCTCAAGGTCACTGCTATCTGCCTGCCTGTGTGACCATGGTAACCAGTTATTGCACTTTTCAAGGTGAGCCACAGAACAGTGACTGGGAGGAAAGGGTTTGAGAACATCCCACTGGACAATGAGGGGTTTGCACCCGGGCTGCAGGAGGGGATCAACAACAACAACAACTTGCATTTATATAGCGCCCCTCATGCAGAGTAGAGTCCCGGAGCGATCAGAGAGGAGTATAGGGTGTGGGGGGTGTGGGGGGTGGGGTTGCGGAGGCAAGGTGGCCAAAGGCACAGTCAAAAAAGATCTTGAGACGGGTCTTGAAGAAGGCAAGAGAGGGGATGAGGCGAAAGGGCTCTGAGATGGATTTCCAGAGAGTGGGGGCAGAAGAGCTGAGCACCAGACCGCTGATAATTCATAGATTCATAGAATGTTACGGCACAGAAGGAGGCCATTCGGCCCATCGAGTCTGTGACGGCTCTTTGACAGAACGTCAATTTCACTAACCCCAATCACCAGCTTTCTCCCCATAACCCTGCAAACCCGTCTTCCCCAGATACCTATCCAGTTCTCTCTTAAAAGCTGTTATCGAATCGGACTTCACTACCCTTTCAGGCAGATCATTCCAAATTTGAACAACTCGCTGAGTGAAAAAATTTCTTCTAACCTCTGCTCTACTTCTTTTGGTAGATATCTTAAGACTGTGACCACGGGTCACAGACACACCTACCAACGGAAACAGCTTTTCCTTATCTAGCCTGTCGAAACCTTTCAGGATCTTGAAGACCTCTATCAGGTCCCCGCGTAACCTTCTCTGCTCTAATGGGAAAAGTCCTAACTTCTCCAGCCTGTCCTCATAGCTAAGGTTCCCCATTCCTGGTATCATTCTCGTGTCACAATGGCACAGGTAGGGCGGGAAAAGTAGAGCAGGACAGTGACTGCAGAGCGGAGGGAGTGGACAGGTTAGTGAAGCTTTAATAGGCCGCAGAGGTAAGGAGGAGCAAGACCGTGAAGGGATTTAAAGGTGAGGACAAAGGTAAATCATGTGTCAATGATTTTTTGTTTGTTAATTAGGTAATTAAGGGCACTAGCAATTCTTCCTTTGCACATGCTGACTCATACTAATGAGTAATCCCTAATCCTCTTGACCTCTCTGTGGGATGCGGGTTGCATAGCTGATACTTATGAAAACATCCTTTTGTTGTCGTAGATGGACCATGAACGCAACGGAGGTCTCGTCCCTAAACTGCCCTCCATCCTGGAGGATGAGGAGGTGGAAGAAGACGAGAACACACCTCTCGCGCCCAACGCTAACAGCACGACCAGAGTAACGTCGCCCATAAAGGCCTCACGTTCACCCGTAGCCCCTAGATCCTCACTGGCAGAAAGACAGTTATTCAAGCCAGTTTCTCCAAAGGCTGAAAATCCCAGTGATGGCAATAAGGGAAATGGCAGAGCCAAACTTTCCAATAACAGTGATGGGAAGCCATCCAAACTATATAGCCCTTCTGTGAACTGTACTGGACCTCCCAGCCTCAGCCCGAGGTAAGTGACTTTCTTGCACTCATTAAATGAGGCTGAAATCCAGTATCACTTGGTTACTCTCTGACTGGTGGTGAAGGTATTGCCCAGGCAATTGCGCCAAAGGATAGTGTCAATGCAAACATCCACTTCGAACTTGATGGGGTGAGATTTGTTGTATTTCTTTGAGAGATTTCTTAAGAGGAAATTTGGTACGACCACATTTCTAAAACATCAGATGTGCTGAATTGAACCATTGAGTCGTATTTCAGAAATATTTAGAAATGTTTGGAAATCTGATAATCACACATATTTCTCATTGACAAATCTGGTAAGAAATACCGCAAATTAGGGCACAGCAGGCTAAAGGCATTTGGTCTTCAAGGAAAAACTCAAAAGACAGACAATTGTGTAAGTTTTATGAATTAATAATAATAATCCATACATTTTTTTGAAATTCATGAAAGCCCTGAATATGCAGTGAGCTTCTCTAGGATTGTTGTTGCTTCTGTATTTTTCCTCTATGCAACGGTTCATCATACATCGCTCATTGTCACCCGTATGTGAAGGAGAAAGAAACAGAATGTGTAAGAGAGGGGGGAATAAGAATGATGCAGGCTCATGTTCAGTATAAACATTGGCACGGACTAGTTGGGCTGAATGGCCTGTTTCCATGCCGTATCACTCTACGTAACTTTTGTCTGCGCTCACAAAAACTGTTTAATGCGTATGAGGCCACTTAAATGCTTCAAGGCAGCCTTTTTCAGATTGATGCCTTTGTTTTAGTGATCTCAGGAGTATGAGACAGCAAAGTCCCTCTTTTGATGAGCAAAAATAAACCCTACACAAAGGTCGCCATCAAGGAAAGTAATATTCTGTCCTAAGATCACTGGGGTTGACAATGCAATATTTGCTAAACAGTGACTATGAGTCACAAATAACCCTCCTGCCAGTGTCAAGATGTAGATCAAACCAATTCTGGCCTCTGCATTGACATGATCTACTTCCAGAGCATAGTTCACATGGGTGAACTCCTAGTCTAGGCTGACACTCCAATACGATGCTGAAAGATGACACCTCTAACAATGCAGGGCTCCCCCACATGGGGATATGAAACTGAAGTGCATGGAGGAAAAGAGGGAAAAGAGACACTTTTTTTTACAGTGACCTACAATGAGCAAAACATGCTTAATTGATGAAAATCCTCCAAGTCAAACGGAGCAGGACTTGTTACGGATCATTTGGTTTAACGTCGCATCCGAAAGAAAGTACCTCCGACAATGCAGCACATCCCCAACATTGCATGGAGTGTCAGCCCAGACGATCCAAGACCCAGGTCCCGATTTCGGGGATTGAACTATCAGAGGCGAGAGTGCTACCAACTGAACCTTCTGCACTCAGCGGATAATGTTTCAGATATTCACATGGAAGGTTACACAGCGCTATGACAGATTGGCCAATTACAAAAAGCCATTCCTTTGCAGTCAGTCCAGAAATCTTTTCATCTTTACAACTCAGAAGAGAAATAGAGAGAAACCTCGACATTTACTAGTGTTGTTTATTTTCCTGAGTCCTATTGATTTTTCAATGTACAATAATTCTGCTTTAATTATTCAGCAACTAATATCATCCGTGTACAGAGAGCATGTATATCGATGAAGCCGGACATAATAAAACCCATAGACTCTGTTCAAATGACAATTCCCAGAATATATTAGGACTTGTATTGATTCAGACACAGTGATTCATGCCCCACTCGTGTTAACTTGAGCTCAAATACGGGTGAATCTCTGACCATCAGGTACATTTATCGATCAAGGTGAGCAAGTGCATCTATTTTCTCTGGTTGTTAAATTTACTGACAGTGTGTTCAAGCTATATGGGGGAGGCAGACAATTAACGTATTGTGACTCTATCATGATCAAAGCAGACATTCCCCAAACGTGTTAGCTTTCCGGTAGGAAAGCCAGTCAATCCACAGTGAAGCAAGATTTGCTGCCCAATTGTACAGAAGTGCATTTACAGTGTACTGTTTATAGTGTAAGTGAAGTGACTGTGTATTTTGAGGGCGAAATGCGGCAGCCAGTCGCACACAGCAATTTCCCACAAATAGCAATTTTATTTGGAGGATTGTTGGCCAGGACACAGGGAGAAACTCCCTTCTGTTTTCGAACCGTCCCACGGGATCTTTAACCTGAACCGGCAGAAAGGTCCTAGGTTTAACGTCTCATTTCAGGACGGCACCTCCGATAATGCAACACATCCCAAGCACCACATTGGAGTGTCAGCTTAGACTGTGTGTTTCCAAGTCCCGATGTGGAGCTTGAACTCACAATTTTTTGACTCAGAGGTGAGAGTGCTACCACTGAGCCAGGCTGACGATAAGTACCTATGACAGCGTGAATATGTTTCACTTGTAAAAGGGCAGAAATGGAGTTCATGTTCTGTTGGCCTTTTACAGTCAGGGAATAAAGGCTCCTATACGTGTGTGTGTGTGGTGGGGGTAGGGGGGTGGGGGGCAGGGAGTATCCCTTACATGTGTCAGTTTGGCTCAGTAACTCTTTTGCCTCTGGGTCAGAGGTAATTGTTTCAGCCTCATAATCTCAGCTGATACACCAGTGCAGCAACAGTGGGTTGCTGCACACTGACTTCAGCGCAATCCAGAATGTATAGAGATGTGACCAGACTGTAGTGTGAAGTATGCCAACCCATGACAGTCAAGTAGGCACTGCAGTCTGGCACCATTTTTGTGGGGGGCCACAAAACTAACACATCCAGAAATATCGCCATGCTTAAGGGTATCCAAACCAGACTGAGAGTTCCACACATGTATACCACCTGTCTCTGGAATTGTAATGCGTGCTCGCTCCTTGGAGGGACGCTCCCTGCTTACTGAATTAGAGAGAATATTCAGCACAGATTGGTAAGAGACAAGGCTTGGGGATTTCAAAGTGTGCGGTGGGATACTGCCGGAGTTTAAGCAGCTAAAACTGCACAGAACAACAAAATGCACTCCTGCAAGTCTTTCCATCAATAATCACCTGGGAACGCTATCAGAATGCCAAGCAAACGTTACTTGGAGCCAGTTGGACATCAATCCTTAATCCATTCCAGGATTTGTTCCCAATGTCTCAGCATACTTGTCCTTCAGAAGTTGTGGAATGGAATTTGTTCCCCTTTTCCTCGGCACAGCTTTAGAGTTCTACAAATGAGTTAAGAGGATCAACATTGACTTCCTGACCCTGCTTCACACTTGTGGAATGTTAATATAAATCAATTTGTGCCACCAAATGACATGCTACTCTGGTCTTGAACAGAATTAATCTAACAAGGTGGTCTTACACACCATATGAGAATTCAGAGACCCACAACTATGAATTAACAGTCCACAGAGCTCCATGAACAAAGCCTGTGAACATTAACAGATCCATGTTAAAGATTACAGCACCTTTTCTATGTAATGCACTTTTCGTGTGTTGATATGACGATGTGATCTTGCCCACCTGCACTGTGGATGAATGGAATAGTGAAGAGCAAATCTTGCAGAGACATGGTTTAATGCCGTGATTTTTAACTGGTTCTTCGTATTCATTGGTATATAGTTGCAAGGCACAAAAGGTATGTTTTATAATTGGCAAGGAGCTGTGAAACACAGAATGTATTGCATTTCTGAGAAAGACCTTGAGGTTGTCATTTCCAAGCAGTCAGGTCTTTGCTCAGATTCCCTGCTGCTTGCCCTCAATGGATACACTGCACATTACCAGACTGGCCTGGAACAATTACAGAGGCTCAGAGGTGTGATTCTGAAATAGACATCAACCCAAAGCAGAGCATTTCGACCAGATTAATTGTAAAGCAGCATTCAGGGATTAAACTCATTCTGTAAAGATCAATTTTCAGAGTGTGACGCTGTGTTGAAATGACTTCATAAAGAAGCCAAGTTAATATGTGAGCCACGATTCAATGATGTCTTAATATCTGAACATTTATTTGCCTTTAACTCATAGAAATAAATGCCACGGATGCAAACCAATAAGTTGAATGCTGAGGTTTATAATATAATTAACACCCTTGCCTCGCAAGCGAGAGGACCTGGGTTTGATTCCTTGAGTAAAGTGTCTTTACTCCACATGCCTCTGTTTACCTAGCAGTAAGTAGGAACCTGCTCGTTAATCATTGGCGGATCGCTTTCAGGAGATAAGAATCCATCTAAAAAACGATATATATTTGGTTACTCACTCCAAGACAGTCTGTGGGACATTGCTGTGTGCAATTGGCTACTGCGTTTTGCCCACAAAATACACAGCTAATCCACTTTTCAATATATTCTGCGAAGCCCTTTGACACATCTCAAATGTAAGGATTATTATTATTATAATCTCCCTGAGCTTCACCATCCCAAATTGATTGGTAAGGATCTCCGACAATGCATTGGAATGTCAGCCTGGACTGTGAGCTCAAAGTTGCACATGAGACTTGAACCCACAACCATCTGAATCAGAGGCGAGAGTGCTACCAACTAAGCCAGGCTGACGGGTTACAGTCAGGGGCTTGGCTCTAATGCGTTCACTACCAGATCTCTATTATCTGACAACCAGTGCTCGAAAAAAATTGAACACTCACAGGGGAGAATTGGAAACTTGTGTCTCCGTCTGTTTGGAAAGCTGGGACCATTCTTTCATCATCGCTTGATCAAAATCACGGAACTCCCCAGTCTGCCACCATTGTAGGAGCACCATCGCCACAAGGACCGCAGAGATTTAAGGACAAGGCTCTACCACCACCATCCCAGCAAAACCAGTGATTGACAGTAAGCGCCGGTCTTGCCAGTGTCTCCCACATCCAGAGATGAGCTTAAAAAATCACGGGTAAAAAAAACACACGTTCAATCACAAGTGGAAAATGAAAGACTCTGGGCTGAATTACAAGAGGATGAAGCACTCTGGGTCGCTACCCTGCATGAGGGGCACTATATAAATGCAAGTTGTTGTTACTGAAACACTTTGAAACGATTCAGATAAAGCTAAG